AGGCTCTCTGTAGGCCTCCCTTCGAGCCTATTGAGGAGATATCTGATCGCCTCCTTACTATAAAAACTACCTTCCTTCTGGCGATATCTTCCCTCAAGAGAGTTGGGGATCTGCAGGCCCTTTCAGTGGCCCCGTCTTACCTAGAGTTTGCGCCTGGTCTGGCCAAGGCGTTTCTGTTCCCGCGAGCGGGATATGACACACGAGGTTCAGAGCCCGTCACGCTGAAGGGCGTTTCCCTAGCATTTCCGACGCAGCGTCTCGTTCCCTCGAGGAACTAGGGTTACATACGTAACCTGAGACGTTTTACTGCTTTGAGTATTTTAAAACTCAGGTGTTACATAATCTGAAGCTGTTTATTTAATATACACTACAGTTCAAAAGTTTAGGGTTAGTTTGATTTTTTAAAAAGAAAGAAATACTTTAATCCAAGGAGGCATTAAATTGATCAAAAGTGATTGTTTTACATTGGTAGAAAAATTTCTACTTTTAATAAATGCTGTCCTTTAGAACATTATATATATTAATAAAACCTAAAAAATGTACATCACAGTTTTCACAAAAACAAAAATTAAGCAGCACAGCTGTTTTCAATGTAATAAAATTAAATATTTATTGAGCACCAAATCAGCATATTAAACTGAATTCTGAAGGATCATGTGACTCTGAAAACTAGAGTAAAGGCTGCTGAAAATTCAGCTTTGCATCACAGCAATAAATAACATTGTAATAATATTTCACACTATTAATGTTTTTATTTTATTTTTTATTGGAAATGTAGTATTTGTGCATGCTCATTGCCCCTATTTTTTACATTCAGATTACTTTTAAGGTCAATTTAAAATTAATCTTAAAAAAGCACTAATAATTTCATAATGGTTAAATGTAATCTTTAACAAATCTCAAAATGAATATCCATTATTTCTTTTCATGTAGCATGACGGTGATATTTTGTTCATACCATTCAGCATGTTCTTAAATTATACTGTAGATCTTATCCATGAGAAACAAGGTAATCACATTTCTGTGTAATGTTCATAAAACCATTATTTTCGTGCAACAATTTAAGGATGGTTTTATAGACAATTTACATATAAATAGGTCTTGCGCATGTTTCATGAATGAGGCTCAGTGTTTGTGTTTCAGGAAGCCTCAATGTTTAGGTGTGCTGTTCTTCACCACCTGCCCACATTCCCTCACATCTGCGTCGAGCGTGACAGAGTAGAGGTAGCATACTCTGCCTTTGGCTGAATGCAGAGAACACATACTGTAGCGGTGTCCAAATCTGCCTTTTGTGTGTCTACTTAATATAGCTACAGTGTGAGCTGTTGTATTAGTTACAGCATGTGTCAGGAAACTCTCCTAGTTTAGCCCATCTGCATGACTGAAACAAGAAACAGTTCAATCTTGGCTTGCCGTTGTCTGTCAGCATTGCAGCTTCACTCTGGGGTTCCATCGTACGAGCTCCCGGTGTCATGCTGTTGGCGCCCTGGTAGAGCTGGTTGCTATAGCAACAGCTGTCTCGGGTGGAGGGGGCTAGTTTGAGAAGAAATCTGTGCTTCAGTTTCAAGGGCCGATAGGAACATTCTTGAGCACAAAACCCTGCCAGAATCTTGTCGTTAATGATTAGTGGCTCGCTCACCACCTCGCCCAGACAAAAGGGAATTCCTGTCATCCACGACAACTTCAGCAGAGAAAAAAATAAGGGATGGTGTCCATGTCTTTACTTTATACCGCATGTCAGAGCTCCCATACTGCGATTAAAATAAGTGCACTTTTTATGTACATTCAAACTTTAAATGTACTTTCATCAGATTGTCATTTGCAGATTGTTAGAGTGTGCAGTGGTGTTTTTTTATGGAAGCTTTTTTATGAAAAAACAAAACAACAACAAAAAAATTAATAAAATTGTGAGATATAAACTCAGAATTCTGAAAAAAGTAGCCAGAATTCTGAGATACAAACTCGAAATTGCAAGAAAATAATTCAAAATTGTGACAAAAAAAAAGTCTGAATCGTGAGGTAAAAAGTTGCAATTAACTTTTTCTATTCCGTGTCGGAAATGGGCTTCCATACTTTATTGCAGAATAACCAACAGTGTTTGCCTTGATCATGTGACTCTGATTATGCTCGTGATTAAGTTCTTTTCGCTGTCATCATTCAAATCTGCAAAAAGTTCCGCCGCCGGAACTTTCGACCCCAGGAGGTTAATGGGGTGGCCAAACTACACTTTAAGTTCCATTGACTCCCATTCATACGCATGCAAATATGGGAGACCGGAAACGCAAGCTCAAGTGAATTATGCTGCATTCAAAGTTCAAGTCTGATGAACCTGCAAATTTGTATGTATGAAAATACATGAACTTGAGCTGAATTAAAAGAACACAAACTTTAGATCTGCAGGATTACAGCTTTGCAGTAGGCCTAATGTGGAGTAGATTGCATATGTTTACATTTTGGATGCATTATATGATGAACTAGGTTTAAAAAAAAAAAAAAAAAAACGCCACAATGCGCAACTTCATATTACAACTATTGAGGTGTCTGTAGAAATGTTGCGCACTCAAAGTCTAGCGTGACCATGACTTTAGATTGCGTGGTAGTGTTTCTTGTGCAACAATGAACACAGTACGAGCCTTGCTGTCCAATTCACAATCAACTGACTCTTAGAAATGATTCTTTTTAATGCAAGTTTCCTTGTAATTTAGCCGTTTGAATCAGATTCACTCAGTCAGCGAATAGATCAGACTTCACAACTGATGCCCTTACTGAACTGTGAGTCATTTTTCTGTTATATCAAATTCAAAATAAGCTGGGATTCATGAGGTTCGCAAGGCTAAAATCATTTTATTTACCGACTGGTTGTTCATGTGACGTTTAAATAAAAATAGGTACTTGTAACAAATGTGAATAATTTTTATATTCTTTAAAAAATCATTCAAATAATTTAAAAAATAATGAAAATATTAATTATGTAGTGTATATATGTATAAAATAATATTAGTTATTGAAAACAGGTTTTTAATTAATTTAATAGGAGCTTAATAAAGTCATGAGGCATATGTGACAGGAAAAGAAATATCATGCAATATATGCTTAGGAGACATGCAGTATTTGAACAGGCCCCCGGAGCAGTTTATGTAGTGGAGACGCTTTTGGGTGGCAATATTATGTAAGCACATGGCCTGATAAGGAACAGCGAGTGATGGTGGGAGGGAGATGCTTTATGTTAATCTTGCACAAGCCTTTCAAGTGGCCAACGATTAGATTAGAGAGGCATGCGTTAACTCTCCAATTGGGAGAGAGTTATAAAGTGAAGAGGTGTCATTCTGGGGAGAGAGAGAGAAGCAGAGTACGGGTTCCTGTGATTTTAATAGTAGTAGTAAATGTCAAAAGGAGGAAGGATAGCGTGAGTAAGAGGAAAGATTTGTAGCCATGCTAATGAGAAGCCACTCTGAAAGGTTCAGAGCTCTTTTTGTTCGAATTAACTTTAGCTTTTGAGTGCCACCAGGTTTAGAACCGCAGCTTTGAGTGGACACCATCTTGGCCTGATGACCTTGAACAAATATGGCACAGTGAGGCCTTAAGTGAAACACAGATACTGAGAGAAACTGACTGAAGTATTATGAGCCTCAGCACACAGCTCATTCATTATTTCTGTCTGTGCAACGTCTGCTCTCCTTAAGGGCATGTAATTATCAAGATTATAAACAACTGAAGAGTGTACTTGAGTTTTAATGTCTGTTTATAGTGGTGTTTATGTTTTAAAGAAATAGTGCACACCCAAAACTGAAAATTATTTTGGGTGAATTATTCTGTATGCGGTTGTGTCTGCAGACTAGCATGTCACAAGTTAGTAAACGGCAAAGCACAAATGACTCATGACCTTCGTTATGCAACTGTACCGACTCTAAATGACATTTGTGATGAGCAGTACAGATATGTAAACAACACGACTCGTGTAAGCGAGTGTGAGCACCTCTCCGTGTGGCTGTGATAAATAACCACTGCGTGGCAGCCAGCTTGTCCTGCTGATCACTCCAAAAAAAACTCCCAACACCTACTAACACTCCTCTCAAACCCACACACTGTGTGATAGCACCCAAAGTGCGTACATTGGCCTGCTGAAACACTTTCTAGCCAGTTACAAGCATTATGTAATGAAGGCTAGTTGAGGTTCAGCCTCATGCTTATTCGTTTCTGGATTTACATGCATATTTATAGCTTTTAATGAACGTCAACTATGGAAATAGCAGCAGTGCTTAAATGCAGGAACAGTGCAGCCAATTATCAAAACAATTAAGGTTTTAATTTTATATAACTGTGCCATTTGCTTTGTCAAAAAGTAGTTGGACATTACAAACCATATAAAAACTGTTGTAATTTAACTAATGATTTAGTCGGTGAATGCAATGTTGTGGGTTTGAAGCTCATTAATGAGATAACCCTATCCTCTTTATCTGTGTGACAGTGTTGGCTACTTCCAAAACAGAAGTCTTTGCTAATCCATGTCTCTGTGTTCCTTGACAGTGGCCCATCCTCAGGAACCGCACCATCCACCAGAAAAACTGGTTATCCAGTGCTATAAGTGTGGGGAGCCATGCAAGGGAGAGGTTCTCCGGGTGCAATCCCAGCACTTCCATATAAAATGTTTCACATGCAAAGGTAAGATCTATTTACTACACAGTGGCTGTTAGAACACCTTGATCTATTTGCAAACATTGTGAAAACTTCTGACAGCTCATTTCTTAGGTCAAAGATTGACGGATGAATATAGTAGCACCAAATTCCGCTTTAGCCTGTTTGTCATTGTGGAAGTAATTTAATTACATTTAGTAATTTAATTACATTTAGTCATAGCTTCACCCAAGTCAAAAATGTGACCAAAGGATAAGAGGAACAAAGCTGGCTCTGATAAAGCAGATGGCTTGTGGGGTTGAGTAGAGAGGAACCCAGAACTTCATTACCTGATGAATGAAACCAAAGTTAGTCCAAAGCTGTATCATGCCCCCTCCGCACTACCACGGTATTTTAATTAAATGGGCCACTCATTCCTTGTCCAGTCTTCTGTGGTCTTCATGTCTGTTTTACCGGCATCATTTGGCAGGAATTATGGAAATTCTGACTGAATTTGCTTGGTGAGTCTTTCTTGAAATGATATAGGCGGACAGCTTTGGCAGGAAGTAGTTTGAGTTTGTCATCAAACGTTTTTATTTAGGCCTGTTGTGGTTGTACATGAAGTACGGACCTTCTTTATTTAGTTGAAGTGTTTTTGGCTGTCTCTCTAAAAGCTTATTTTCATTCTTTGCACTCCATATAGATCAACCCTCAGGTTATATAAGAGAATGTAAGGTTTATGTGGTGGCGTGTTGCCAGTTGCAAAGAGCAGACAACTGATTTCCTTCTGGAAACCTCAACAAGACCGCAATTGCTCAATGTGCCTTTGTATACATCAGTGGCGGGCCGTCAGGGCCAGCAAAGCCTTCTCTGCTGGCCTAAACAAATGGCATTCATTCTCGCTACATAAGATACCTATCTGTTATGTAGTGCCCTGTTATACTGCATTACTGTGTAATATTTATGGTTTCTATAGCCGTGGCATCATTATGATGGTATGAAGAGATGGATTAATTCATGTAGGACGCCACTGAAGGCCTAGGTGTAAAATGCACGGCCCGCCACTGGTATACATGTAAGATAGCACTCAAAGAAGAAAAACGGTCAGTTTTTGCATTCTTGATTAATGTGCAGCACTTTAATATGTAAAACATTGAGGACCTGTTGATAGATAACGGTGTCCTCTTCAGCCGTTTGAATGTCATTGCCATGGCAACCATACTATTAGGTGTCTGTGTCTGGCTGTAAAAACATTGTATGAGGGGTCTTGACAATAAATATCAGTGCGTCAATAAGCTCCTGTTCCCAACAATCCTTTAAACAGCCCTCAGAAGCTGAGGTCTCTCCGGGTTTTCTTTAATCTCACCTGAGCAGTTCATTCCACTTGTAGTTCCTCATTAGTCACTTATTGCTGATGCCGCGTTAGTCACCTCAAACAAGGTCATAAATGAGAGTGCCCTGTCATCACTGAGATGAAGGACTATATGAGGTTTCATTCTTTCCACTGTTAACTAATTTCAGTATTTGAACTGAACAACAATTTTATTATATATACATATTTTTAAATATATTTTATTATTTTATATTATGTTTTATTTTATTTCAGTATTTTAGTTTAAGAACAAATCTGTGATTTGGAAACAAAATAATGTCTCTTACATTGTGTCGAGTGCTTTGTGAGTTCAGCCCTGCAGTGAGATCATGATGGGCGTATGAGCGGAGACTTACATCATTACTATAGCAACCAATGCAGAGACACTGGATATTGATAACACTGTCTGAACAAACAGATCAGATTTTCTCAGTCACAAAATGGCAGAGCCAGACGGTAAGTCCTGAAGACTGGATTTTTTTTTTTTTTTACTGGATTTGGATTAGGGCTGTGCGATATTGAAGAAAAATGCGATATGCGATACCTTGTTAAAAAATGCGATATTCGATATGCGATACGATATTGCTTAAAGTGGGTAAAATCAATTTCAATTATATTTTAAAATATTTAAAAATGAAAATTATATAACCAATTTGTTTCACATTCTTTCTCGGAAAAGAAAGAATCACTACAACTTCTGAAAGTGACCAGCAGTGTTTTAGCAGTACATAAAAAGTTATGTCACAAATCAGAAAATGTGGTTGTTGATTGTGGTCTGTGGAATGTTGGTCCACTCCTCTTCAACGGCTGTGCGAAATAGCTGGATATTGGCAGGAACTGGAACACGCTGTCGTATACGCCGATCCAGAGCATCCCAAATATGCTCAATGGGTGACATGTCCGGTGAGTATGCTGGCCATGCAAGAACTGGGATGTTTTCAGCTTCCAGGATTCAATTTACGGGCAACAGCTCTGGTGGACATTCTTGCAGTCAGCATGCCAATTGCACGCTCCCTCAAAACTTGCGACATCTGTGGCATTGTGCTGTGTGATAAAACTGCACATTTTAGAGTGGCCTTTTATTGTGGCCAGCCTAAGGCGCACCTGTGCAATAATCATGCTGTCTAATCAGCATCTTGATATGCCACACCTGTGAGGTGGATGGATTATCTCGGCAAAGGAGAAGTGCTTACTAACACAGATTTAGACAGATTTGTGAACAATATTTGAGAGAAATAGGCCTTTTGTGTACATAGAAAAAGTCTTAGATCTTTGAGTTCAGCTCATGAAAAATGGGAGCAAAAACAAAAGTGTTGCGTTTATAATTTTGTTCAGTATAGTTCACACCAGAACTAGTTAATAGTGAGAATTGGTCCCTATACTAAAGTGTTACCAAAAATGCTATGATGTAAAATGAATAAGAAATATTTTAGATTCTGCACCATTTCTACTATTTGTGAAATTGGTAATGTGACTCTTTGTACAGACGGTCAGATATTCTTGCTTCCAAGCTCAAGATGCTCATTGGATCATTCTCAAAATGATGCTGGAGAACATAATCATCAGATTTTTCATGCAGCTCAAGTGGTGCTGCCATTAAAGCAAAAGATGGAAAAACCAAATGCATTCTGAAATTCTTGTTGATTGTTCAGTTCAACTTTTCACTCAAATTGTTATGTCCCTGATGGGTCAAATTTTATTATTATAAAATATTATTTATTATATTCAACTTTTTACTCAGTGTTAAATGTGCACATCAATGCACATGTAACATACATGTAACAGTAACATATATACATTTTTATGCAAATGATACAAAGCTACACACAAACCAAATATATTCTGAAATGTATGTTGATTTCTCAATTCAAATTGTTATGCTAAGCAATTTTCCATGGAAAAATATCAGACAAATTTGTATTAAATTAGTAAAATGCGAAATAGAAACATTCAGACTTTTGGACCACACTTTACTTTTTGAGTACCATGTGAGTAATAAATGAATATTGAAATCATTCAGTACCATTATATTATATACTCAGAGTGTCATTGTTGTCCAGTTGTCCTGCATGGATGCATGGGCATTAACGTATATTAATCCTCATCTTTCCTAGATTGTCAAATATAGAACGAGTAAGACTATTAGTCTTTACTAGTGGTCTATTTCTTAAACACCGAGGAGGGCAGGACAAGGGCTCAGGTTAAGCAGACCGGTGACTTGTAGTCCACTTACAAGGAATCCATAATCTAATGGATCTCCCGTATTTCTGGTCAATCAGCTCCATTCCTAGTAATCAGGATTCGGACTATTGCATAAGGTCTGATGTTACTTTCTCTGTGGATATCTGGCAGGAGTGCTTCAGCTGGGGTGACCTGCCAATACCTGAACTCTGGCAAGAGAAGATGCAGTGCTCTACAGCTCAGTTGTAAGCGAATGAGCCTTGCTGTGCTCTATTAGTTTCATTTGTTCACTCTAAGCAGGCTCACTTAGACCGCTAGAGTGAGCATTTGCAGTCGACATCTCCAGCTCCGCTCCCCCCTTCTCTACGGTGATTACTTTATATTCCTGTCCACGTCTCATCCTGTCTTTCTGCACGTTCTCTTTCCCTCTCTTTCTCTCGCTCTGTGTGGGAATGCTGTGTCAGTCTGCAAGCCTGTGTGTGCTATTTCGGGCATAGTCTCTGGGAGCTGTTAAAGCGCTGCAATGCTGGAAATAGCTCTGCTGATTCCCATTGGGAGGATAAGACGGCAGAGGAGGGGTCTGCACACACCTCTACAGAGACTGCCAATCTGCCTGTGAACATGTGTGCTTGTGTGTGTGCCAGTCACTCCGCAGCTGTGGGTTTGCATTAATGATGAGTGGCAGATGCCCCTCGGGGTCAAAGGTTACGTGCTTGAACTGTCATTCTCACAGCCAAGAAGATGATGTCACGGGTTGACCTCAAAGCAACAGATTCCTTTCACAAGTATTTGAGCATTTCATTTATAGGAGGATGTGTTTTGATGAAGTTACTGCTGTTTTCATTGTTTTCGTTTTAAGAGAATTTTCTCTGTGAGAACCAGATCATGTTACTTAAACTGAGAAATTGTTCCTGTTGAATAAGAGGAAACTGAATCCCTAATTCTGTGGCTGCAGTTAAATAAATGTTCTGATTCATCACCCAGTTTGTAAAAAAGAATGGAAAACAATTACAATGGAAGTCTAAGAGTGATTATACAAATGTCACACTATTTCCAATAGCATTTTTCATAGTATTTATAATATTTAAAGAGTAATATGCAAGTTTTTGTTTTTGTGTGCACACACCTAGGTTGTTCTGCAATTGTTAAAGGGATACTTTACCCGAAAAGGACATTTAATCTCCCTCTCAAGTTGTTCCAACCTGTGTGAATTTCTTTCTTCTGCTGAACACGAGAGAAGATATTTGGAGAATGTTGGTAACCAAACAGTTTTTCCATAATATGGAAGTCAATGGGGACCAGCAAATGTTAAGTTACCCACATTATTCAAAATATCTTACTTTATGTTCAGCAGAAGAAATAAACTTCTAGATGTTTGGAACAAATTATGGTTAATGATTGCAGAATTTTCATTTTGTGTGAATTATCCCTTTAAGTGAATCCACACATCTATGCAAGTTACACTGATTCAAATCATGTTTGGGATCAGTAAGAT